AAATAATGACGTCCTTGGTACAATAACGAAAAAATTTCTTGTCGTTGCTGTTGTTAACCTTATAAAGGTTATTGTCTGGAGCTTGCCTGATCTGAACCATTCATATAACAAAGAAGACAGAAACACAAAATCCTTTAAAATTATCAAGGTTCAATGAACATTTCATATAATTTATTATGGATACACAGTTTATGCCGAATAAATTTCTATAATCCAACCCTTGCCTTTAATTCTTTTCAAATATTACTGTATTTATTTTAAAAAAGTATGATTTTTTAAAACCTTTTATCGAAACGCAGTGTAAGTTTTAATCATAAGAAATTTACAAATTTTCACTTAACTATCAAACAATTTCTTAAAATATTACCATTGTTGATTAAATTATGATCTACCTCACTCCAGACAGACAGATGACTTTTGCCTCCTCCCCTTCGACGATTTAATCTGTAGCTGTCAATATGTATATTTGAAGTACAGAGAAAATCATAATACAATCACTATAAATGTCCCCGTAGAATTTTGACCCCTTGTAGATTTTATTAGGGATAAATTTTTCTTTTTGGATAAAAAAAAACAGAATGAAAAATCAAGAGGCCCATGGATCAAAATTATCACCTGAGATAAATTGATTGATTGTATGTTGTTAAACGTTCCATTCGAGATTTTTTTATTCAAATAGAGACGTCACCTATGCTGGCGAAGGGCTTCAAAATTAGACCTATACTCAGGACCATTGAGCTGTGAGGGTTCTTTATCGTGCCAACCAACTATAGTTAACTATAGCAAATCAAAGTTTTCACTATAAAAAAATCAAGTTCCAAAGTTTTCACTGTAGTAAAACAAAGTTTCAAATTTTTTATTACAGTAAATCTAAGTTTTTACTATAGTAAATCAAAGTTTCTCAGTTTTTACTTTGATACTTTAGTTAACTATAGTAAACTCTAGTTAACTATAGCTTACTTTATTTTTTTTTGTTAGGGTAAGTCCGAGAAATTTTGAAATACTATATGTTATCGCTTCCTTTGATAAATTTTACTTGCAGTCAGTTTTGCTATATTCATTGCTACTTCCTCTCTGTTTTGATTAATTATGTACAAAGAGACTGAACATTTCACTGTATAGAGTAAATGCAGTATATGTATTGTCTTGGGAGCAGTTGTTATTTCATAAATAATATGAATAACTGTTATCACCTATTTAAAATGGGTATATATTTGAATTGGTAATATCACCTTTTCGAATTGGTGATATCACATATTTAATTTGAATATGTGATATCACCTATTCGAATAGGTTATATCACCAATTCAAATCAAATAGGTTATATCACCTATTGGATAAGATGATATCACATATTAAAAAGCTGAATAGGTAATATCACTTATTCGAAGAGGTGATATTATAATCATAATGCATAATGATCATTATTGGCATTTTTCCATGATCCTCCGGTCATTTTTTACGGGGTCCATTATTCGTCTTTACACCGGTACAGTAACCGTACACACGGTAAGGCTTCCCTTATAAGTCATGCAACTTAAGTTCTAGCCTTACCATGCGACATGTACGTTTTTTAAGCCTTACAAGTCTGACTTATGAATAGAGCACTGCTCTAATTCTTATCAATACCTAGTTGACCTTTTATTCTTAGCCAATGAACACATTCACAAACGTGTCAATTTTTTTGTCACCAAACCATACACGTGGAAAGATTGAAGTGAACACAAAGTATTCCTCTTTTGAGGAAGTGTGAATGCATTGGGTGGTAAAAAATTAAAACACCCTAGTAATATATCCTCTATTTTAATGACTGAATGCACTGTTTAGGGCTGAAAGAAAAAAAAGACACGTGGAATTTATGGAAATGTTGTTTATAATCTTGTAAGTCTTGCCTTAGCGTGTGAACATTAGAGCCGTACCATCGTTCAGAATGGAACTGAGAGATAATGCTATTTAAACATTAGTTTTATAAGAGGGTTATGACCGATACACAATGTGATGATATCATTTTTATTTTTTTTTTAAAATATTTTCAAGCACATTTACAATGAACTGAGAATGGTGAAGATAACGAACAGTGATCAATCTCAAAAAATCTACAAACAATACAAATTTGTGAACAGGGCATAAAACAGGGACCCCTGGGAATTCCAGAGTTGGCATCATTTACCAAGGAGGAGTAAGCATCCGCTGTTGGCCGGTCAAATCCACCGTGAGCCTTATGTATTGATCAGGTAGACGGAGCATTCCTTAGTCAATTTAAGTATAAAAGAATGGCCTAACAATTGGTAACACATCAAGCCATCAGGCAAAACACGACTCAATGATAGATTATATTTGTTACTAGGTCAATATAACGACTCTAGAATTTACGAAATGCTTGCTTTAAACGAGGTTTTTGAAAATCCCTGTAACATCAACTTATCCGTCAGTATGCTGCCTCGGTTGAAGAACTGATCGTACTCGGCATGCTTTGGAGTATCGAATAAGTTCGGAGACGTAATCAACATTTGCAGGTGATAGTGGTAAATAACTACACAAATAAGGAAAGTTGACGATGGAAAAGCTGAAGTCATATCTAGTTTGTCATACAATTTAGTTGTTAGTTTGGCCTTATTGTTTAAAGTCACTAAAACATCCAAATAGTAAACAGATTCAGTAAGCAGACTCTCCATGTAAATGTTTTAACAACATAACTGTCTAAAGTATAGAAATATTAATACAGAAAGCACATAGAAACTCACATACAAGGCGGTGTAGCACGCTGTTCCTGCAATTCTAGGAGACATGTTCAACAGGTCGAGAGTTCAACTCAAGGTTGGGGCGGCAGTGGGTCTCCTTGAATTGTAAAAATTGACGTTTACCAGACTCTGCTAAGTCTATTAAGTCTTGTTAAATTAAATTTTAATGTTCTTATTTTTATGCTTAATATAATAGATATAAGGGTAATCTAATTAATTTGTGATGAAATGCAATTTTTTTCACGAGTATAAAATCATCCTTCAAATGTAATTGCATTTATTGCTCATAGTTGACGGAGACTGGAGTCATTGGGAAAGTTGGAGCTATTGCTCTGTAACGTGTGGTCTCGGAACAATGACAAGACAAAGAACTTGTACGCGCCCTGCGCCTATGCATGGTGGCAGTTACTGTGTTGGTATATCCACGGAATCCCACGATTGTCAAATTCGTCAGTTTTGTCCAGGTAAATATTGAAGACTTAAAACTGAGAGTAATCGGAAAATTTGATTCTCTATGTCACATGGCATCATATGGCAGCTCATGGCGAAGGTTAAGTTTCTCAAATGCACGTCTAACGCCAAGGTCAAGAAATCAAAAATGTTGGTACTCAAAAAAAAGTCTTTTCACATGGAATCCTCCCTGTAAAATATAAAAGCCCAGCGCTGATCTTTCAGAAGTTATGGCCAAGGTAAAAGTATTTCAAAAGTAAGTTAAATTCAAGGGCAAAGGGTAAAAATTATTAGTACCAAGGAAAGGTCTTTTCATAAGAAATACACCTGTAAAATATGAAAGCCCTAGCACCAGCCGTGCAAAAGTTATGGCGAAGGTTAAGATTTTCAAAAGTAGGTCAAGTTCAAAGTTCAAGCTAAAAAGGTCAAAGTTGATACGCAAGGAAATACCTTGTCACAAGGAATGCACCTGTGAAATATGAGAGCCCTAGCACTAACCGTTAAAAAGTTTTGGCCAAGGTTAAAATTTTTCAAAAGTAGGTCAAGCTCAAAGATCAAAGGGTCAAAATTGTTGGTACCCAAGGTAAGGTCTTGTCACAAGAAAAATAGAAGTATAATATGTAAGCCCTAGCTGCAACCATTCAAAACTTATAGGCAAAGTTAAAATGTTTTTTTTTTAAATTGGGTCAAACTACAAACGCTCAAAAATATTTGTACTCAAGGGGAGGACATCACAAGGACACACAAGTAAAGTATCAAAGCCCTAGCATCCACCGTTCAAAAGTTATGGACAATGTTAAAGTGGGGTAAATTTTTGCAAAAGTAGGTTAAACTCGTCAAGAGATCAAATATGTCGGTAACACCCCCCCCCCCCCAATAAGACATGTGAAATACGAAAGCCATAGCTCCAATATGGGCAAGGTTAATGTTTTTGCAGACAAACATACAGACAGACGGACAGACAGAGCAAAATCTATATGCTCCCGAATCTTCGATTACGGGTCATAAAAATACTGCTCTTCTTGTTAGAGTTATTGTTTTTTTTTTAAGTTTAATTTTGCTTTTTTAAAAATAATTCTAAGTGATCATGTAATTTTTCTTTATGTAGTTATATCTGAAATTGCAAAATTAATTTAAAATCATCTTTATCTTCTACGTGTATTTTTATTAAGTGGTTGTTATAAAGTCGAAATTCCACCCCTTGAACTAGATGAAACTATAGCGAATATTTTTATGAGCATTTATTTGGATTGCAGTCAATGGTGGATGGAGCAACTGGAGCCCCTTTAGCTACTGTTCCAATACTTGTGGGGTAGGAATAAAGTACAGAACCAGAACGTGTACAAGTCCTAGACCTCTCCACGGAGGCGCAGATTGTGTTGGCCTGTCGTCCGAGTCCCATTCCTGTAGACATCATCGTCGCTGTCCAGGTGAAAAAGAAATTGCTGAATCACTGAATTAGAAAGGGAAAAAGTGTATATGTCTAATTCATGTTTCTAGCTGCATTATGCAATTGTTATTCAACTGAACATGTTTCAAGAGATCTCGAGTTAGAACTTTATTGATGAAAAGACATATACTGTGTAAAAAAAATATTTTGGCATTTTGAAGGAATTTGAACCTTGGGGATTGAAGTGAAGTTAAATGTATAATTACATGTATGATGTAAACGTAAAGTAAATGAATGAGCCGAATACGACATTGATATAGCACTGTGTCGTAATATGATTGAAAATAATAATTAAGTTTTATTAAATGAAGTTGACGGCCAATGGAGTTCCTGGGGTCAATACAGTACATGCACTATGACTTGTGGATATGGTGAAAAAATACGATACAGATCATGTTCAAATCCAGCGCCATTACATGGCGGAAAGACGTGTTATGGGAATAGTTTAGAGACGAGCTCATGTATCATTGCACCATGTCCTGGTAAGTTTATCAGTCAAACCATATTGTTCCTTTCTACCTGAAAGATAATTGCTTCAATATTTCAAGACTAACAAAAAACACCGTATAGAAAGACAAAAGGATATTAAGATGATTTTATCGGGTATATATACGTTACGTCAATAATACTGGAATGTCTTTTATGCATGAAAATGTTTCCTGAAACAAATTAAAGGCATTTTAAAAATGTATTTGTAGTACACGACCAAAAGACCACGGTCAATGTCCTCGTAACTGATCTTTCTTATGAATAATTAAACATTCATTTAAAACTGCAGATATGCTTAAGGACATTTACTGCAACCAAAAAATGGATGCATGGATAGATACATGTGTATATTTCTGGGCTTAATTTGGTTGTAAATGATTCTTATATTAAATTCTGTACGATTTTAGTTTTTTTTTATTTTCTAATGATGTTCTAAATTCTCACCTTTTAGTCGTTCCCCTTTACAATTTTTAATCACTTGACAGAACATTCTCGAGAAATCTTGAATAAATATTAAATTTAAAAATGTGCCTTAACATTCATATTATATTAAAAAAAATAGTATAAATTTTCATGATTTTTTTTTAATAAAGTTTGTTTGTAGCAATTAACCTTAATAGATTTGTATTCCTAACCATAACTAAAAATTTTTAAAGTTGATGGCCAGTGGAGTCAGTGGAGTTTGTTTAGTCAGTGTAGCACTACATGTGGAAAAGGAACGCAGCAACGTCACAGAACATGTTCTAACCCAGCGCCATCTAACGGAGGAAAGACATGTGTTGGAGACGATAAAGAGACTGGAGGTTGTGAAATCCAACCCTGTCCAGGTAATACATGATAAAAGTCTGTGTTTTAAACATCGAATTATTTTTTAAGTTAGAAAGATAGAGTAGGTACAGATAACGAACAGTGATCGATCTCAAAAAAACCTACAAACAATATAAATCTGTAAACAGAGCATGAAATACGGACCCCTGACATTTCTAGAGGTCGGACCAGATGCCGGGGAGGAGTGAGCGAATTCCGCCGACGGGCCACACCCGCCTTGAGCCCTATTTATTGATCAGGTAGTCAGATTTAGTACAAAAACAAAAACCCAACAATTGATATGGAATATGTAAGTCAAAATACAAGCTAATGATTAGTTGTATATCATGACAAGGTCATTATACAGACCATAGAATTTACGAAATGCTGAGTTAAAGCCAGGCTATCGGAATCCCTATAACATCAACTAATTTGTCAGAACCCTGCTTCTGTTTAAAAATTTGATCGTACTCTTGAATATGGAATTGGTTGGGAGAAATAAACACCATATAACGGAATATTCCTACGTAAATATGGAAAGTTGACGATGGAAAAGCTAATGTAATATCCTATTGAAGAGAGTTTAGTTTTTAGTTGACCCTTATGGACTGCTTAACAATAATATATGTAAGGAAGATTGAATAAGACTCAAGTTTCAAAACTCTTATTGTGGTATCAATCCCTGTAGAATTAGATTTTTTTTACCATATGATTAATCGTACAAGAATTAAGTTTTCCTCTTGATATTTTCATATTTTTATCATATATGAGGTAGTTGCGTCAACACACAATTTTTATGTAACATGTGATCTGATGTTCATGACCAATTTCTTCTTTACTGAACCTTCTTTGATAAAATTTGTTTGAAATTTTAGATAAAAATCTGTATATAAATAACATATCATAATTCTGAAACTACACTTATCAATGTTAAAGTTGATGGCCAGTGGAGTCAGTGGAGTTTTTTTAGTCAGTGTAGCACTACATGCGGAAAAGGAACTCAACAACGTCACAGAACATGTTCTAACCCCGCGCCAACTAACAGAGGGAAGACATGTGTTGGAGACGATAAAGAAACTGGAGGATGTGAAATCCAACCCTGTCCAGGTAATACATTATAAAAGTCTGTACTTTCGTTTTGAGAATAGAAGGTTAAAGTAGGTGAAGATATCAAACAGTGATCGATCTCAATATGAAAATCTCAATTTTTCCTCTTGATATTTTCATATTTTTATCATATATGAGGTAGTTGCGTCAACACACAATTTTTATGTAACATATGAGCTGATGTTCATGACCATTTTTCTAAATACTGAACTTTTCTATTTAAATTTTGTTTGAAATTTTAGATGCAAATCTGTATATAAATGACATATCACAAGTCTTAAACTAAACTTATACATGAAAATGTTAAAGTTGATGGCCAGTGGAGTCAGTGGAGTTTGTTTAGTCAGTGTAGCACTACATGCGGAAAAGGAACTCAACAACGTCACAGAACATGTTCTAACCCAGCGCCAACTAACAGAGGGAAGACATGTGTTGGAGACGATAAAGAGACTGGAGGTTGTGAAATCCAACCCTGTCCAGGTAATACATGATAAAAGTCTATGCTTTCGGTTTGAGGTTAGAAAGGTAAAGTAGGTGAAGATAACGAACAGTGATCGATCTCAAAAAACCTACAAACAATACAAATCTGTGAACAGGGCATGAAACACGGACCCCTGGAAATTCCAGAGGTTGGATTATATGCTTAGTAGAAAAGAGCATCTCCTGTTGATCGGTCACATCCACCGTGATCCCTATGTATTAATCAGAAAAATGAAATAATCGTAGTCAGATAAAGTACAAAAACAAAGGTCTCTGAATTAGTATGAAATATCCCTAGTTAACTATAGTGATAACTTTGACACTATGAAAACTTTGATTTACTATAGTGATAACTTTGACACTATGAAAACTTTGATTTACTATAGTGATAACTTTGACACTTTGATTTACTATAGTGATAACTATGAAAACTTTGATTAACTATAGTGATCACTATGAAAACTTTGGTTTACTATGGTGAAAACTATGATTTACTATAATAACTTTGAAAACTTTGATTTACTATAGTGATAGCTATGACACTATAGTGATCACTTTGAGAACTTTGATTTACTATAGTGATCACTATGAAACTATAGTGATCACTTTGAAAACTTTGATTTACTATAGTGATAACTTGGACACTTTGATTTTCTATAGTTAACTATAGTACACTATAGTTAACTATAGTAAATTTTGACAAAATACAAACCAATGATGAGTTGTATATGATGACAAAGTCATCATAACAATTGTAGAATTAACAAAATACTGCCTTTAAACGAGGCTGTTGAACCACTGTAACATCAACTTATTTTTCAGAAGCCTGCCTCTGTTTAAAAATTGATCGTACTCTTGAGTATGAATTTGTTGGGAGAAATAAGCACCATATGTTGTCGATAAGGGAATATTCCTAAATAAATAAGGAAAGTTGACGATGGAAAACCCGATATAATTTCCTATGGAAGAGAGTTTAGTTGTTAAGTGACCCTTTATTGTTTTACTATAATGTAAGAAAGATTGAATAAGAGCCAAGTTCCAAAACTCTAGTTGTGTCTTCAATCCCTGTAGAGTTAGATCTTTTCACCATCAAAGTGATTTTGGTTAAATGTTTTTAATTAAAAGTATAATTAATATCTGTGCTTATTAATTGACAATATTAATTAGATTACTGTCAACCGGCATTTTTTTCGATGCTGCAAACCCTCATCATTGCGAAAATCACTAAACATATTCGCCATTTACCTCAAATTGAGTTTTTTTTAATATAGAAAAAAACATAAAGTCTGTTCAAATTGTTATACGATTTATCGTACAAGAATTAAGTTTTCTCCCTTATAATTTCATATTTCTATTATATACATCTATAAGGTAGCTGCGTCAACACACTAAAAATGTATGTCATGCACATCTGATTTGATGTCCATGGCCATTTTTCTAAATACTGAACTTTCTTATTTAAATTTTGCATGAAATTTTAGATTCAAATCTGTATATAAATGACATATCACAAGTCTTAAACTAAACTTATCAATGTTAAAGTTGATGGCCAGTGGAGTCAGTGGAGTTTGTTTAGTCAGTGTAGCACTACATGCGGAAAAGGAACTCAACAACGTCACAGAACATGTTCTAACCCAGCGCCATCTAACAGAGGGAAGACATGTGTTGGAGACGATAAAGAGACTGGAAGTTGTGAAATCCAACCCTGCCCAGGTAATACATGATAAAAGTTTGTACTTTCGTTTTGAGGTTAGAAAGATAAAGTAGGTGCAGATAACGAAAGTGATCGATCTCAAAAAACCTACATACAATACAAATCTGTGAACAGGGCATGAAACACGATCCCTGGAAATTCCAGAGGTTGGATTGTATGCTTAGTAGAAAAGAGCATCTCCTGTTGATCGGTCACATTCGCCATGAGCCCTATGTATTAATCAGAAAAATGAAATAATCGTAGTCAGATAAAGTACAAAAACAAGTTCGAAATATGTCAGACGAAACACAAAATATGAGCCAATGATGAGTTGTCGTATATGATGACAAAGTCATTATAACTACCGTTGAATTAACAAAATGCTGCATTCAAACGAGGCTGTCGGAATCCTTGTAACATCAACTTATTTGTCAGAAGCCTGCCTCTGTTTAAAAATTGATCGTACTCTTGAGTTAGTTAGGAGAAATGAACACCATATGCAGGTGATAGCGGGTTTTTACTCCATCAATTGGGAAAGTTGGCGATGGAAGAGCTGATGTAATCTCCTATGGAAGAGAGTTTAGTTGTTAGTTGACCCTTATGGATTGATCAGCTATAATGTAAGAGAGATTGAAGAAGAGACAAGTTCCAAAACTCTAGTTGTGTCTTCAATCCCTGTAGAGTTAGATCTTTTCACCATCAAAGTGATTTAAGGGGAAATGTTCTTAATTAAAAGTATAATTAATATCTGTGCTTGTTAAGTGATTAATATTAATTAGAATACTGTCAACCGTCATTTTTTTCGATGCTGCAAACCCTCATCATTGCAAAAATCATTAAACATATTCGCCAAATTTCCCTCAAATTGAGTTTTTTTTAATATAGAAAAAAACATAAAGTCTGTTCAAAGTTTTATATGATTTATCGTACAAGAATTAAGTTTTCTCCCTGATAATTTCATATTTTTATCATATACATGTATAAGGTAGTTGCGTCAACACACTAAAAATTTATGTCACATGTGATCTGATGTTCATGGCCATTTTCTTCGATACTGAAATTTCTTATTTAAAATTTGTTTTAAATGTAAGATGCAACTCTTTATATAAATCACATAATAATTCTTAAATTAAACTTATACATGGAATTGTTAAAGTTAATGGCCAGTGGAGTCAGTGGAGTTTGTTTAGTCAGTGTAGCACTACATGCGGAAGAGGAACTCAACAACGTCACAGAACATGTTCTAACCCAGCGCCATCTAACGGAGGGAAGACATGTGTTGGAGACGATAAAGAGACTGGAAGTTGTGAAATCCAACCCTGTCCAGGTAATACATGATAAAAATCGTTCCATAAAGAAAGTGAATATTAGGCATTTTATTTTAAGCTAAGGTAATTATTCAATGTCAATCAACACTTTGGTTTTATAATTATATCAGAATGTTAACATTTAAACATTCCTCAAAGCAAAAACTAAATAGATTTCTATTAATGTTACCTGGAAATCACAAGTCAAACTGTATACTATTGTAACGTGTACTGTAAACTAGGTTTTGGTTGCATGAAAGAAAGTATTCATGAATCACTCATCATACAGGTATTAGCTTCAAACAATGAATATTTGGTCCGTATTTTTGTTGTTACATCAATAAAGTATTTATACAAGTATATTTAAAAAAAAATGTTAACTGTTAGAAAAAATCTGGATGAAAACGTGCTTTTCAAAACTTATTTTGAATTTTCTTAGATTGATAACTAGGCAGTTATGAATTAAATATGTATATAACAAACAGTGATATATGATATGAATGTGATATGATATGAATGTGATATGATATGAATGTGATATGATATGAATGTGATATGATATGAATGTGATATGATATGAATGTGATATGATATGAATGTGATATGAATATAACAAACAGTAATCAAGCTCAAAAACCCATTAAAAAATATGTAAATTATGAGCAGAGCATACATGGACCTTTAAAAACATCAGAGGTTGGATTAAGTGCCATGGAGGAGAAAGATTCCTATGTCGACCGGTTATACTTGTTCCTTGTTATGATCGGGTAAACGGGAAAGCCCGTAGACAATTCAGTGTAAGAATAATGATCTAACAATTTTTATTAAGATCGTCAGTCAACATTCGACTCATCGATTGATTGTATTTGCTATAAAGATCTTGAAATCTTGAAAAATATTGGCCTTAAAAGAGACTGCTGTTATCCTTATATTATTAACTTATTTGTCAACAGTTTGCCTTGTTTTAGTAAGAGTTCCTATGTAGAACATGATCATGCTTATCAAATCAACTGCGAAACATGAACTCCATATGCAGGTGACGGTGGTATATTGCTTTATAAATAAGAGAAGTTGACGCTAGAAAAGATTTATTTAAGTTTTATTTTTCACGTTTATCAAAAGTTTAATTGTCAGTTTGCCATCAATGTCTTCAGTACAATATTCAAATCTGAAACAGATGTGTCAGGCGCCGTGAAGTCTTTTGAGTTTAAAGGGATATAGCAATCCAACGTAGGAATGTAAATGAATACTGTTAATTGATGAAGCGTCGTCGATATTTCTAAATGTCAATTTGAAGGCCACAACAAGAGATGTCTTCTTTTCATGTAGAAGATAAATATTACCATAGGTTGATTTGCACAAAATGTTTTTATAAGCCACTGATGAAAAATTCAATAATTTACGATTTCGAGAAATAAATTTAAAAAGTAATTAAATCTGAACGATTTTGACGGTTGATTACTTGTAAGTTTGTAATTCTGTATGCGTTTCAGTAACGACAATAAGTTGGGTAACTCCTAATCATGGTTTCCACCTGGTGACGATATGAAAGCGGAAAGGCAGAAGTGAGTACGTGTAAAAATTGAATACAAATAACAGAAGTACAAAAACTTGTTTTTAACATTAGGGATACTTTCATTCATGATACTATAGTACTACATTAGAACAATCCACATTATTCTTCTGATAAAAATTGCTATTTCTCATTAAATTTACATACTTCGTGTTTCGTTTTGCAAAAATTGTCGCACAAACAACAACAGATTTGCACCATGAAAGCATAAAATCGTTTTTTTTTTATTGATTACAATATCATAAAACTTTTCTTTTCAGAGAAAAGGATAATCAATGAATGGAAATGAATGCTGTTAATAATCTTTATGAAAAGGAGAATAAAGGCCTTATATAACATTTTCAATGTTGTTCCTGTAAAAAAAATTTCTCAGATATTATAAAAAATATCATAAACAAAGATAATATGAAATACGTTTGTGGCAATAAAAAGAATATTATATAGTCTATGAATAGTCCCTATATAATCTATACAAACGCAAACAGTTCATAATAATACATATTCACTTGATTTGAAGCCCCATTCACCAGAGGGTCAGTGCGCGTGCAGCATCATTGTGACGTCACAATCAATATTTTGAACAACGTTGAAAACAATGGTTACAACGGTCGGAGCCAGCTGTATATCTGAGCAGGAAATGTTGTTAGACAAGTCTATCGCAGGATCATTTTCCAAACATTTCGATGTCTTACACACAGCGAAAGGAAAGCTATAGTTATGTTATAAGTTGTAATCTTTACATTTTTAAAAAAAAATTGTTTACGACAGACGTTAGGTTAATGAAAATGCAAACGTCATGCAGCCTTCAATGTCTTATTCATACAAATCCTGACTATATAATAAAACAATTATGGACTCTTTTGGCGGTGAATATGATTTGTTATTCACCAGAAAAATATTAATATTGATGGAGGTGAAGCGAATTTTTCTGGTGAATAACAAACCATATTCACCACCAAAAGAGTCCATAATAGTTGTATATTATATTTTTTGGCTCATTATATCGCTAAACTTGTACTGAAACGTAGCTTTCCATTTCACCGAAACGCCACTACTTCCCTCAACTGAGGACTACTTCTAAAATCAGAGTTACTTTCTGGGACTACTCCCTCATTAATATTCATTAATAAATATATACATTTGTGATATCTCTCTATTATATAAACATGCAGAGAGCAAATATCTTCATACCTGTATGAAGTTTTTCGAAGGTCATAGGTCATTAAGTGACCTAATCACACAGCGCAGTAATATCTACATAAAAAGACTTACATGGCATGTTTTTCATGCACAAAAATGTACAAAATACGCAAGTAAAATAATAATCATTTTATTTACAATGTAAACGAGTATTTAATACAGTTATTGATCGATTTTACATACAGAATAGAAAACTACATGTTATAAGTTTCATGTCTGAGCTGCATAGTCTCAACGTTTACCCTTATTTTTCTCGTAGACCTCTGAATGCTATAATTTTTTTTCATTAAACTTTACTCACAATAAATCTGAAAATCTGTTGAAAAACATCAATGTAATGCAATCACGCCACAAACAGCTGACAAACACTGCACTTCGGAAGTTCGGTAGGCACACCTCCATCATCGAGATCGTTGTGACGTTGTCTTAACAATCTCAGCTGTCGCCAGTGTCTCCATGTCAACATCATAAATTAATAAATATGCCTGACTGAAATCGTAGATTTTATGTTTTTGATCAAAGTTTGTACTTGATTTCAAGTTATCTGGTTCGGATTAGTGTCTCCATCCATCCCTTTACACCCGAATTCCTCCAACTTTTTATTATCAAACATCGGACGTGTTTCTTGTGTTTTTTTAACATCGAATATGGGTTCTCATGAATAAAAAATTCCCAGACACCAATATGCTCACTATAATTGATCACAAGTACCCTTCAAAACAGAATCCTTTGCCAGATGAATTTGAAGTGTAACCGCTTTTCAAGCCGATTTACACCTAGCGTAATTTGTCAAAATCTACGACGTACAGTTAGTGCAATATTTATATTCGATAACATTCGATTGTCCGTCTCAAATGTATATATAAGTAATAAATAACAAGTTTAAAAACTTCAATGGGAATTGAAGTGGGTTGGTACGTTATCAAATCTTCCGAGAAGGCCTTCGGCCTTCACAGGATTTGATCACGTGACCGACCCACTTCAATTCCCATTGAAGTTTTTAAACTTGTTATTTATTTCTTAATTTAAACCGATTAAAATGCTCAGTGAGGGAGTGTTCAAGGAATCTCGAGTCTGTGACGTAATGTTATTAGCAATGTAATTATGACGTCAAAATATTTCGACATGCAATGTCAAAATAATACTGGAATTACTTAAGAAATGAATTTTATTTTTGAAGATTCATGAGGACATGGACTACGACGCTTCACGCCGGTATATTTCATGAAGCGCGTTAGCGCTTCATGATAAATATGCCGGCGTAAAGGGTTGTAGTTCATGTACCTCATGAATCTTCAAAAATTAAATTCATTTTTATATTTAAATTATTTTTCTGATGATTTGCAACAATTAACGCCATTCCTTTGTCATGTTAAAAGCAAAACAGTTTGCACTATAGTTTTGACGTCAAGTGCGGTATTCTGACGTAACAATGGAGATATTCATGCCCATTCATGGTAGTTCATGAGAAAATGAACTGTACTCTATTTTGTAAAGAATCATAGGGGAATTTTATTGGAAATGTAAATATAGCAAAATGACGAGCATTTAAATATCTGAGAAAGTATTTTTATTTTTTTTTTTTTTATTTTTACTTATTTGTTTTTTATTTTCCTCAATATTGATGTATCACATATCAAACAAAATGTTCATGTATTTGTGTTCATTTGAATGCCTTAATATTTTCTATAAAAAAAAAATGTTTGTTTATAAATCTCTTTTGATTGTTTAGGTATAATCAAACAATTATGCAATGATACTCGGGAAATAGCAAACCTATGGTTCCCCTCGGTAGGAAACTATTTGCCTCGGGGAACCATAAATTTTCTATTTCACTCATACCCGTTCCATAATTGTATATTATAATATTAAATTTATACACTAGAATTTGGTCAGAAACTTGGTAAACTTAGTGTTTCAATGATTCTGACCAGGAATGATAAGTTCGCTGAATTATTACATTGGAACCTGAACTAGAACGGAGCAAGGTCATCTTGTTTTTTCACTGAAAAATTGAACAAGGATGGAAAACATGGTTCAAAACAGAAACATAGGAATAACTCACTTGTATTTGAATGGACAAAGAGAAAGCAAGAACGTATTAATAATTATTAACACTGGATGATGAATGGGAACTAAGTGACCCCGTATTGGAATGGTCAAAGAGAAAGCAAGAACGTATCAAAGAAATTGGAGCAAGGAAGGAAGAACTCTATGACTTGTATCATTACATTTGAAACAGATACAGAGTATTCAATAATCTGTTATCAAAAGACAAAGGATTCTCTGTGTATTGTATTATTTCCCGCTCCGGATCAAGAACAACTCACTCTATCACCTGCGTTATCAAACTGAAACCGGATCAGGAACAGAGTTCTGTATGACCTGTTTTATGACACAACAACTGGATCAAGATTACAGTTCTCAATGCCCAGAGTGACTGACTTGAATAAAACAAAACCCACCTGCGTAAATACAGGTGGAAAATCTTATCACAATGAACTTGATTCTACAGACAAGGCTTTTAATTCAAATTCTATTACATCTTTCAGGTAAAAATACTTTTATTGGCTTGCTCCATTAAATATTACTGCCAAAATAGTTTCTAATTAATTATATACTAAAATGTGTTTTTCATTCCACAGTCATAGAATATATTTTCGGAGCCTTATCGGAAAGATTTCTCGAACAGGCAATAGGTATGACACTCTTATGGTACACAAGTACAAGTAAGAAAGACGGATTTTTATCAGGATAATTCTACAGTGCAATTGGCAGTGAATCCGAAAAATACCTAAACCTTTATGTCTTTAACATGTAGAATGTCATGATAAGCTTGGTCGCGACTGTTTCAAATACAGAGATGACCAGTGTGTTGGGAAGTACAGTATGTGGGCGAGGGAGCACTGTGCACTTAGGTGTGGATACTGCCCACGTTAGTACATATAGTTCTATTACAAGATTTAAGCGTCGAAAAATTTGAGCATGGTAGTACTTTAAACCAATTAAACCAGAATAATTTGTTGTTTATTATTTTATTTAATCCTAATAAAAATTTTTACTATAGTTAACGATAGTTTACTATCGTTAACTATAGTTTACTATAGTATCCAAGTTTGGACTAAAGTAAATCGAAGGTTTTTCCTAAAGTTATTTTACTATAGATTTCAAATTGTTATATTTTATATATTCTTCAATTCAAACAAGCATTTAAAAAAAAAGATTTAAATGGTTATATTACTAGTACTTGAATATTCACCTTATATTTCCACATTTTACATCATTGATATTTAACTTAAGAGATTTCGAGCTTCGAAATCTCAAAAAAGTTTTAGAGTAAAGTTTCATAGAAAATCAGTGTATCAAAGTATTAACTGCAGTTAACTTTAGTATATTTTTGTAAAGGAAAGTATAGTATTAATTTCACCTGGTCTTAAACTTATTTGTTTTTTTTTAAAGAAAAATTACCATGTGTCGATCAAATAACATACTGTGACGAATATGAGGAGAGATTTTGCAGTGATGAGAAGTACGGGGAATATATGAGGGAAAAGTGTAGAAGGACCTGTGATTTATGCAGAGGTAGGTCTAATCAACTATGTTAATGATAGTATGATATGATGAAACACAATAATACCAATACAGAAAAAAACTAATGAAATACCAGCAAGTAACAGACTATTATTGTGTTTACAATAAAGGGATTGTCTTGGGAAATCACTGTTCCTGAAACTCTGTAGTACCCGAAAATGTCAGAATGTTTTACAATTTTTAGGCTGGTTTTTTTTTTATATTTCTATATTTTTCAGTTCCAACAGAGTACTTAACATCATCAGCAACTGTGTCTACAACTGACAGTTCGTAAATTAATTCATTTTAAAATAATAAGATAAACTATGTATCTACAGAATGTGTTAGATGTAAATTGGAACAGCAGATACAGAATATACAACTTTTTTCCAAATTTAGTAAAAATATATATGAAACACATATGGCTAAAAACGTATTTTATCCTCCCTCTGAAAAAAATAATGACGATGTTGCTATAACTCATTTCCTGTACAATTGAGTTTCGAGCTGGTGTTTTGACCACGCCCCCTCTGGATCTTGTTGGTACTACGAGGACGCTCAGTGTACAGGAATTTACGAGTCATGGGCCAGGAAATACTGCCCACACCGCTGTGGTTATTGTCCTGGTAACTACAAGGGCTGATCCTAAAAGTAATGTCACAACTGCAAAACTTTATATTATTCTTGGACCCTGTATCTCTATCTCTTTTCACTGATATATATATATATATATATATATATATATATATATATATATATATATATATATATATATATATATATATATGTCAACAGAGGCGAAGCCGAGGTTGACAATGGTTTTCGAAAGGTGGAAATTTTCAATGTTATACTCAACTACATGCAATATTTATTATATTAAACCGAATTTTTTTTTACAAATACATATTATAGTGAAACTTGCGCGAATGAATTCTGTGCAGACAATATTTTTTGGAATATCACCCGTCGTCAAGCTATGTTAACTGTTGCTATGTTCGAGGGCGTGGCTTCATTATTCAGCGGGTAACAGTGTTTTTTTTAACAAATGTTTCTCGACGAATCAGATTCAACTACCGGTAATTTACATGAAAGTATAATTAGAAATTCGCCTTGTCCCTTCCAAAAGGTTAAAAAGACATGAAAGAACAAAGCAAATAAAAACAAAACATCTAGCACTACAACTGCGCTACTAAATCCTATTTATATACACTTTTACATTTTGAATTTTTAGAGTTCGCTTTGAGATTTTTATCAAATTTTCTAAACTGTTCTACTTAATTTCCATATTCATTTTGCCGTTCAATTTCTTCTGTACTAAACTGAAAGTTTTGTCTCGCGGCATTTGACGAAACCTAATCTAGTGTTTATCTCTCTGTCATAAGTCGCCCGTGTGGTGCAGTGGTTAAAGCCTTTGTTCTAAAATCGCGGAGTAAGGAGATGATCCTTACGTCGCATTTTCGAATCCCACTGCGGAATGTGGAGACCGGTCCTTTGGAAGATAAAGGAAGGTCCCATGTCGCAGCAGGTGCTAGCACGAAAAAGATCCCTTAATACTCAAAGGCCTTAAGTGCGAGTACAGGTCTCGATTTACAGCCCTCCACGAACAAGTGGTGGCGTCCTGAGCAAACAAACAAACATAATTTAAAAAGTATTACTTATAAAAATGAATTGTGTGGCAACAGTCAAGACGAATAGAAGTATAAGTATTTAAAAAGATATATTTATGACTTTCATTTACTAGAATTATTATAGCGGTTCTGTGTTTACTTTTGGATCCACCCTTGTATATCAATTACTTTTTAAATGAGAGTTCATCTGTTATAAATACTGAAAATATCAAATTATGAAATTAGAATTCCATGAAATGATTTTGAATCATATCAAGATTTACTGTCCAAAGCTTGTCTTTTATCAGTATGTTTAGATTTGATTTAAAGTTACATTTTCCCTTCAAAAGTTGATTTCAAAGACAACAATCATTTCTTGTATATGTCCTGGAATAAACTATACAAACTAGATGTAGGAGCTGTTTGAGATTAATTTTTTACAAATCAAGACTACAATACTAACATTTTTTTTTCTCTCTGCATAATGCATAATGACACGAATCAAAAAATCTTCTGTCACCTCGATAGGTTCATTGCCTCCCTGTGAAGACATCATTTCCTACTGTGGATCCTTCGGCCAGTCTCTATGTACTGACTCGACCTATGCAGCTTATATGAGACAGAATTGCAGGAAGACGTGCAACCTCTGTTCATGTAAGGATACGAAATAGTTCATACTCTAGTGTTCCTTTTGTTTAGAACAACTTAATTTCTTCACTTGCTTGGAGAACTCTTTGCAATTATTAATAATGATAGGATATTAAAAGTTTTTTTTAAAAAAATGGAAAAAAAAAAGTAATGATGTGGATTTTTTAGATTAACTTAAATCTTAAATCTATTTTTTAGATCCAGGAGAAAAACTGACACCGAATAGTTTTCTTACCACTTCTGCCTCACCCATTGTCATTACGGACGGGAAAATCCCACCAACTCTCCGTCAATCATAATCAATACACAATTTACCTATACAAGTTATTGTTAGGGAATATTGAAATCATAACATTTGATAATTTACATGGCATTGCATTTTTTTAACATGCTACGATAATTGCAACAAACTAATTTGGTTCACAATGTGCCTTATGTATTATTTGTAAGACATGGTTGTAAAGTAAACTTTTTATTGTGTTGTCCATTATAAAGTTTTTTTTAAAAGTCTTTTTGTTATAAAAAAGAATGAACAGTTTTTCAGTCTTATTGGATGGTTAAAACAAACAGAATTGAAAGTATCGGTTTGAATGTGTCCATGAGGGAATATACAATTATGTTAAAACATTTTATAATAATAATACAAAAAAATTAAGAATAAAATTTTTTATTTAAAGAAAGGTACCAAATTAGTGCTACCACTTTTCTTCCAAAGACCTTTGAATTAAATATTTTCTTGTAGATCTAAATCCAAAACACAATCTCAGCAGAGCATACACTTCATTCCGTATTTTGAATCCAAGCATAATACATGTTTATTTTCATAAAATAATTTTACGCAGTTTAACCACTCAACATCACAAGTTGCCGTTAATATATCACTCAAAACGTAAATTAACAAGAGGCCCAGGGGCCACATCGCTCACCTGAGCACTCTGGCTAGGAAAAAGCATAAATCAGTTCAGTCTTGAAAAGTTTAAATATAAAAGTGGTTGAGGGGGGGGGGTGATTTGAACTAACTGGAATCTATACTTCGTAGGGATGCTTTTGAATTAATATGACCTCAAAAACCAGCAATAATTGTATAATATAATAAAATATATTCAAGAGGCCCATGGGCCACATTGCTCAATAAAACAAATTACACTGTACATGTTTTGAAAATTAAAAATAAATTGCTTTGAATTAATTCCGGACCTCTACTAAAAATGTTCGGTTTGTTTGGTGTAAACTGGTGGGGGTAAATGTAAAAGGGAAAATTGTCGCAATTCAGGATCTCTTAGTGTTTTGAAATGTTTTAGAACTGTTTATTGGATCATAGGAATAATAATCAATAATATAGGCAAAAATTACAAAAGTTGAAGTTATTTAAAAATGTTTGAGTGGATTAACTGTAAAGATAACATTATTTGGAGAGAATAGTCATTTTTTTCAAAATCAGGAATTAGATCTAGTTAATGTTCGTTCTGGTGAAGTCATTTAGTTTTTTAAAACCATAAGGGCGGAATGATTTCAGTCTATGGATCCAGAACTTTTCTTTGCTTTTCTCTGAGCATCTGTCAACCTTGGGTTATGGCCAATAAACACGACTATCACGTCCTTCCATTTGTAACCATCAAGGTTTAAATGTTCCCCTACTGGTTCATTGATATGAAATACGGAGAACAGTATTTTAGCCCAAAGTCCATTTAAACATTACAAATCGAGAGCAGAGCAAACACGGACCTTGCAACACTATCAAAGGTGGGATCCAGTGCCATGAAGGAGTGAGCATCCCCTGCCGACCGGTCAACCTGCCCTGTGCTCCTTGTCATAATCTGGAAAACGATAGTAATGGCCTAACAATAAGTATGAAAAACGTCAATCAGTATTTGACTTAATGATAGGTTGTATTGCTAACAAGGTCATTGTATCGACCTTAAAACTTTCAAAATGATGACTTCAAACGAAATTATTGATACCCTTGTATCATCAATTTGTTTGTCAGTAGTTTTCCTCATTTTAGAAATTGTTCATACGCAGAACATGCTCTTGCGTATCGAATCAACTGGGAGACAAAAACCCCATACGCAGGTGATAAGGATGCATTGCTACATAAATAAGGAAAGTTGGCGATTGAAAAATTGAATCATCACGTTTATCTTAAAATTTGTTATTAGGGTACTACTAAAGTCTTTTTCTAGTAAAATATCCAAATATGAAACATATGTGTCTGACTCTGTGGTATCTTTTATTTCAAGCTCACTGGGATATATCGAGTCGATATATGCATGAAAGTAACTACAGTTGCGTAATAATACGTCGTCGATATATCTAAATGTTGAGCTAAAGGCCACAGCAAGTGTTTTCTTCTCATGTAGAAGTTATAGAATACATTCTGCTTTATATGAATACAAAAATAGGTCGGTTTATAAGGGGGCGCAATTAATACCCATATGAATTTCAACAGATTGTTGGAAGAACTGATCTCAAAAACTACATAAATATTGTGAATCAGAAACCCAAGCATCTTTTTAAAATCAACTCCAGAGTCCTTGTGTGTACAATCAGAATGTTTTTTAACAAAATAATTTTGAAAATGACCAACGACAAGGTAAGTATATTAACGAGTTCCATTTCTATTGAAAAAGCAGCTGTCTTTGATGTAAAAAAGCCCGTACTTTAATTTTTCATGGGGAATAGTTGTATAAAGTGTTGAAAAGTCGTACTTCTTGATGTTATTGATTTTGTTAAAAAGTTTGTGATTGCAAATTTACTAAAAGTTCCTTGGAGTTTTTAAGTATCCATATCTGATTTACACCACTTCTAGTATAAATTGTTGTGCAGTACTCCTGAAGTTTTTCCTTCACTGCTGTAAATATTTCAGTGAGGAGTAAAGAAAGAGGCTTTGTAGAACATGCACTCGAACCCTTTATAGTATCTTTGTTTGTAAGGATTTTTATGGAGTTTCGGAATCCAGTATAGGTATGGTAATTCAAATTCATTTTGATTGCTGGGAAATCTAAAATATTTCAAACTGACAAATGATTTTGAAAAATTTCCTCCTTAGAAAAGGAGCTATGGGTATAATTTGGACTACCACTTGCAGAATTAAATCCTAGTTCATCTAAAATACACTTCAAATAATAAGCCTTACAAACAAAGGCAATGTTGTTACCTGCTTTGTCAGCGGGGACCAGTACATACTGATCGTGTTATCTATCTTATTCTTGTTTCACTTCTGATTGTTGAAGACAGAAGGAAAGATTGTTTTCATATTGCCCCTCAATTGCTTAATGCGCAATTTCAACATCCATATGATACATTTAATCCATTCTGACAAAGTGTCAAGGTCTTCTTTTTCAGATTTGCCCATCGTCTGGCGTATACTTCTCCTGCATTCATAATG